GTGAGACCTACATGGAAGATGACAGGGAGCAGGGCTATGCCTGACTTACAGACAGCAGGATGACTCATGAGCTCTTGTTGCATCTGGAAGCAGACTCTCCAGTCTGCAGTGATCCATTCAGTGCTGTATTCAGAACCGTAAGCTAAATCCAGTCTCGCTACTGCCCAGTCACTTGTGAATGCTTTGTTTTCTTTTGGTAGCTTAAGTCTAAAATGTGAATCACCACATTTGGTAGCAAATGACTTTGCATTTTTTTAACAAATTCATTTTACTCCTAGAGAAAAATGGAGTTTTCAGCCACTGCTCGTGGAAGCAATGGGTACAGCACATATGCAGTCACTTTCCTAATGATTGGTAAGAGCAATTGTTCCAGGGCCCAGCAGGGTAGCCTAGTGGCTAAAGTCCTCACCCTGCTTGCACTGGGATCCCATATGGGCACTGGTCGTGCCAGGCTGCTCCACTTCCCTTCTAGCTCCCTGCTTGTGGCCTGAGAAAGTAATAGAGGATGGCCCAAACCCTTGGGACCCTGCATTTGTGTGGAAGACCCAGAAGAAGCTCCTGGTTCCTGGCTTTGGATTGGCTCAGCTCTGGCCATTGTGACTGCTTGGGGAGTGAACAAGTGGATTGGAGATCTTTCTCTTTGTCTCTCCTTCTTTCTGTAAATCTGACTTTCCAATTAAAAAACTAAATCTTAAAGAAAAATGAGCAACTGTTCCAGACATCAGACTGCACCCAGAGTATTTTTATTTGTAGCTTCCCATAACACATGAGGCAGAAGAAAAATCAGGACCATGGTGAAGCAGAAAAATGTAACAAATAAAATGGAGGAGCTATGGTCATGTCTGAATTACAAAATGAGAAGCAAATGGAGGAGTAAGCAATAGACTGAAAAAGAAGAAATCCAGGGAATGACGTTGGGTCGGAATATAGAAAAGAGATGCAAGACTGGGAGCCCAAGGCTGAAGGCAATAACATGGGGAGAGAATATTTGAAATCTCCTTTCTTTATGGTGACATAAAACCCAGAAGATATTTAAAAAAAAGTCCCAGAAGAGAGTCCAAAGATGTTTTTCTTAAATATAAAAAGACATGGAAACAAGTGTGTAACATCCAACAACACCTTCCTTAATTAAAAAAAAAGTGCCTATTTGTTTGAGTGTGTGGGTTCTGACGTGTTTGTCAAACATCAGACACATTATTTTAGAGAAACTCTTTCGATATGCAATATGCTCAGATAGAGGAAAAGGCAACATGGAAAATCGGAGTGTTTTATGTCTTTGCTGCTAGAGGTCCTATTTTTTCTTTGTTGTTTTTCTCAAAAGCCAGAGTCTTCTTATGTCAAGAAGCTTACGTGCATGAGAGCATAGCAAAGTTTGCACGTTGTTCTTTAAAACTTGTTTTCCACGTCTCTGTATTCTCACACGTCTTTCTCCATGGGGCCCAATGACTCTGTGTTTCTTTCTAGCCATCAGTTCACCGAGTCCCCAAAGACCCTGCCTCACGTGGTTCATGATAACTTTTTAGTTTTGAAAGATTTGGGGTAAGGAAAACCATGTTAACTTTGTGTCAGCCGAGAAAGCCACTTGCCTGCAGTTGAAACCTTCATCAGTCTCACGCCATATGGAGCGGGAACTTGATTTGCTAAGTTACAATAGGTCAGGTGACACCTTGGATGTCTGTGATTCAAGTGGCAGCTGGATTTCACTGCTTAAACTTTGAGGTTTGGACTACAATGCTTTGCCTTTTGGAATTTCTGTTTCTTCTCCCAGTGCTTCCTATCCACTTCACAAAGATGCTGTGAATATTAACTTCAAAGGGCTTTGAGCTCTCCTGAAGAAAGACATGCTCCAAATACAGGGCATTAAGTAATCTGAAAGGCTCTGCTTCATGATTATCATATAAATTATCAGGAGGATTTTGCCAAGAGAGTAGTTACTTTGTGCTAAATCCAACTAAATAATGGTGGGGGGAGGGAGTGGAATGCACGGAAGAGACAATAACGAACACAATATCCTAACGGTGCATGTGCAGTGACACTACAAATGGATCAGGAAGTGAGCTGTTTGTAGCTGGTATTGTTAAGTAACAGCATTCGTGTTTGAGCACGAACATAGAGTTCAAGGTGGAGGGCAAGAGGGCAAGATTTAGTGGCAAGACAGCAAGAAACGCAAATGAAGCTGCAAGGAGATAATTCTACATCCAAAATGGCCAACACTACCAAAGCTTGGAGACCTGAAACACTCAGATGCAAAATAACTGCTTCTGGGACTGGGAAGCAATGTCGCTGCTTTGAAAAACCTCAGAAATGCATGAGTTCCTCCTGGTCCTTTCATCACCTTAACCTCCCTGGTGGGTCCAGTCCTTTTGCTTCCATGTTAACATGTTTTTTTGTTTTGTTTTGTTTTGTTTTGTTTTTTGCCTTTCTCCTCCTCTTCACCTTTACTGTCAAATTAATTTGGACTCCCCCATTAGTCTGCTGTTTTACTGCCCAGTCCACATTTTCTTCCCTTTTTTGGAAAGAAACCCAACTTCTCTTGGGAAGCAGCTCCTGCTCCCAACCCCACCCTGCAGTGAGCCAGCCCGTCACATCACTGCATTCTGTGATTAGCTGTTGGATAGGCACTGCCCTCACTGGTGCAGTGCTTGTGCTTCTGGGGGAATGCTGAGGGCCAGGTGCTCTTTCTCTACCAGGCACAGTCAAAGAAACTCACGGCACAGAGTTACGGACACAGAGGACCAGTTATCCTGAAGGGGAAAACCTGAACGAGACTGTAGCCAAAACTGAGGAAGTAGAACTGGGCGAGCAGAAGGCGAGGATGACTCAGTCCTGGTCACTTCATTGGCCTCTGGGGAGTGAGGTCACATTGCATCCCTGAGGCTCTGTGGGCCAAGAATTACTTCCATTTTGGCTTAAATCAGTTGAGCCAGGTTTTCTGAACTAAGGCTTAGCAGTAAATCTTCTCTCTGCCTTTTAACTGAAGGTAAATTTTACACTTAAATATGAGGCCAGGGCCCAATGTTAAGGTTCAATGGTTAAATCCTCACCTTACCATCACCAGGATCTCATATGAGTGCCAATTTGTGTCCCAGCTGCTCTACTTCCCATCCAAATCCTTTCTTAAGGTCTGGGAAAGCTGTAGAGAATAGCCCAAAGCCTTGGGACCCTGCACCTGCATGGGAAACCTGTAAAAAGTTCCTGGCTCCAGGTTTCAGATCAGCTCAGTCTTGGCCATTGGGAGCTTCAGGGAGTGAATCAGTAGACAGAAGATCTTTCTGTCTCTCCTTTCCTAAATTTGATCTGCCTTTCCAATTAAAAAAAAAAGAAAAAAAACCTGAGACCAAAAGAAAAAAAAAGATTAAGAGGTACTAAAAAAGTACATTTAACTGCTGCTGCTGATCTGCTGGGAACTAATGTTCCACATTTTTTCCCCTGCACTTGAATATGTAAATATATTTTACTCAAAAAGCTAAGGTTTGGAATGGTGCATCTTAACCACATCCTTCTACTCATTCTCGTGCATAGAAAAGTGATGTAAGGGATGCCATATGAGCAGTGGCTGTTTTCTATCCAAACAACCCCACACCTCGGCCATGACAGAATAGACTTGGGCAAAGTAACCGACCAAAGATAACAGTGCCCTTTGAGCGGTATGGCTCTCACACACACACACACACACACACACACACACACACACACACACACACACACACACACACAGCTAGATCTCATTTTCCTCCCAGAATCTGAAGACTCAAAAGGGGCATTTGGCTTAGTGATAAGGATGCCTACATCCCCAATCAGAGCGCCTGAGCTCAGTTTTCCAGTTGCAGCTCCCAGCACCAGCTTCCTGCTGTGCAGGTCCTCAGGGACAGTGGCGATGGCACCACTGGGTCTTTTCCTCCCTTGCGGGAGACCTGGGTTATATTCCTGGCTCCTGGCTGGAGTCCCTGATCGGGGTAGGAAGCATTGCAGATATTTTGGAAGTGGGCTGGCAGATGGTAACTTTCTCTTTTTCTTTGCCTCATAAATAAAATTCAAAACTAGTACTAGCAGGCATAGCAGTACAACTATGAAAACAGAGTAATCTAGCTGGGAAAAATACCAAACTCGAGATGGCACACGTGGGGTCTTCAAAAAGTTCAATACATATTATGAAAGAAAAGTATGAATTTCAAAATATCTGCATCAAAACAAACTTAGTTTTCAATTCCATTTGCCAAGAACTTTCAGCAAATGCCATAAAGGGATATAAATTTAAAAAACAAGGCAAAATACAGAGAAAATGTTCCCACGTTAGAGGGCAAGGCAGAAGAAATGGAACTCGGCGATGCTAAGAACAAAAACAGAGGGTCCACATCATTGCTCTGGGGCTCTTCTCAAATCCCACGAAGCCCAGATACCCCCTGTTCGTCCTAGAAAGTCTGATTGCTTGTCTTGTAACCATGACAATAAAGCTCCCCCAACAACTTAACATTGAGTTACCTTCTGTTCTTTATAACCAATGGAGCTCATGCAAGGTATACATTAATAGTATCAAACTATGATCACACATGCCTATTTTTTATTGCAAGCCTTTTTACATTTAATGCTGTATTTTAAACTTTCCATGTCTGTAAAAATCATATCTTATATCCTAATTCTTGGAGTTATTAGAATCTCACTACTCATATTTATGTTCCATACTTCAATCAATTCTCTGTGCTTGGATGATTGTTGCAGAATCTTGGGACTGGACTTAAAAATACCAGCATCAACCACACAATGTTATTTTCATGTCTCTGGGAACAAATCTGATATTGTCAAGGGTCACTGTGCCACATACATACACTCTTGGATAATGAGCCCCTTCCGTGAATCTTTGACTACCGCCTGTGTGGTTTATGAACCATGCGGCTTAGCAAAAAGATGTATGACTTCCTAAGAAGTTCTGCGGGAAAAAAAATCTCATTTGTATATCCCAAATATGACAATAAGAAGATATAAATGTATTGTAGACTTACAATATCGTTCCAGAAACAGCAGTCCATTAAGTCTTCAGACTTGGATCTGTATGGCCATGGGTAATCTCTCTATTCCACTGTCACCTGGAGTCCTGGGGGAATAATACAACTGTGTGAAGTTTGGATTTTAAAAACTCATACCGTGGGCCTGGTGCAGTAGCCTAGTGGTTAAAGTCCTCTCCTTGCACATGCCAAAATCCCATATGGGCGCCAGCTCTTACCCCACTTCCCATGCAGCTCCCTGCTTGTGGCCTGGGAAAGCAGTCGAGGACAGTCCAAAACCTTGGGACCCTGCACCCGTGTGGGAGACCCAGAAGAAGCTCCTGGCTCCTAGCTTTGGATTGGCTCAGCTCTGGCCATTTCAACAATGGAATGGCTTAAATTGTGAATAAATTTGGCACATTTGCTCTGGAGTCATTTTAAAGGCATTAAAACATGTTTCAGATTTCAAACATACAGTTACAATTTCTGCTACTCAAAATATAAACATGGATCTTAAAAACATGTGTGCTTTTTTTAATTTGTCCTAACAAACAGCTTAATGAATAAAGGTTGTTTTCTCAATTTTTCATACATTTGTTAACTTATCCAGCATTCTTCAGTAGTTTGAAATTAAACAATTCATTGGCAAAATTTGTCCCTCCCCCAAATTAAGATATAAAATATATATTTTAAAAAAGGTGTCTTTTAGGACACACTCCTTTAACAGGAATCCTACATGTCCCTTGGAAGTGCTTCTTGACATCTGGATGGCCAAGTTTTCCATGGTTGCTGTGGATGGCTCCCATTTTATAATCCTATCTTCTGTGTGTCCATCACATAAATCCAGAACATCCACTCTGTGAGGTGTGCGGCTAGGCACTGTCAGGGATTTAAAGGATGTGACAAAAGGTGGGCTTTTGGCTTAGTGAGTAAGAGGCCACATTCCCCATCAGAGTGCCTGCATCAGTGATGCCCTCCCTCTCTGGCTGCTGACTCCAGCTTCCTGCCAAAGTAGGCCCTGGGAAGAGGAGTGACGGTTGAAGACTATGGCACCTTGGTTGTCACATGGGAGATTTGGATTGAGTTCCATTATGCATCTTTGACCTGACCCGATCCTGGTGGTGTCACTCACTTGGGGAGTGACCCAGTGGATCACAGTTCTGTCTGTCCCTTGAATGTCAAAGAAACAAAATCTTCAAGTGGGTGACAACACCTCTTTATTCCTTGAAAAGTTCCCTTTGAGGGCACAAGCAAGGCAATCCAGACAAATTAACCCAAGCCAGACCCTCTCCCCTCCGCTTCCATTCCTTTAGTGTTCCAGACCCGGTGTGTCAGTGAGACGAGAGTGGAACACAACCTAATCCAGGCCTCTCGCCTCTGCCTCCATCTCGTTAGAGTTCCAGACCTGGTGAGTCATTGAGACAGGAGAGAATCCCAGGGGCCAACCAGACCTCTGTGCTACATCACTGGCATTGGACTTGTTTCCCGCTGGATCCCAATAGCTTATTTTGCCATCTCCTAGCTTAAAGCCTGCCCATATCTATCCCAGGCTTGTGCCACCCCCAATGTGATTTTGTTTCACTCCTAAGTCCCAAACTAACATAGTTCCAGTTACAGAATCCTCTGCCAGTTTTATCAAGTGAGACTGTTATTCACACCCCTCCCCAGATTACGCCTCCCCTACCCCCTGCTACCTGCCTTCCATAGAAGGGAAATCAGCAAAAGACACAAGGAAATGATTTTATTATAGGAATGAGTGAAAGCACGGCAGAGACCAGTTATTACAGTAAGTCAGAAAAGTGAGAAATGTCTGTTGATTTCGAATCTTTTTTTCTGATGTTGCTTAGTGACAGGTTTAAAGGACACCCAGTGGGGAGAATAGAAGCATCATGTTTATGCTAGCAAAAAGATTAGATGTATATTATCAAAATGGAATATTTTTACATGCATGATTTTTTTCCACCTGTATTTGTAGTGTCATCATGGTGGTGCTGGAAGTTTTCAAACTAGACGCTCTGCAGATCCAGTTGTGTTTATTATTCCCCTCCACATTCCAATGGGAAAGATAAGTTTTATCTGAGAGTGAGATACTGAATAATAACAGACGCCTCAGGCAGCACGGCTTTATCCCCCCCTCCCCACCCCCATTTCTGAGCACTCTCCCTTTTAGAGTTGCTGTGGCTTCTCCTGCTAATTCAAAGTGAATCAGAATTTATATTCATTCCAAATGTAACACTTCCTATTCAAATGTAACATTTATACAAATTCCAACTCCTTGGCCTCAGACAAAGACAGCAGATCAAAGTAGGTGGCACACTCTGGAAAGACAAACCCAGAACACCTACAGATCCATAGAGACAGGTGCATGGATTGGAAGCACAAATTCCCCCGGAATCCAGTCTAGCTACAAACAGAAGCAGGAGAGGTGAGGCTAAAAGAAAAAAATGACAAAGCAACAAGATACTTGCTAGAGGCAGACTGTCATTGTGGCAAGGACAGAGAATACACTTGCATTGTGAGTAGCTCGGAAGGCACAGTCCCTGGGTGTAGGAAGAGTTAAGCCAAAAGAACTTTCATGTCCATGAATAATGAGAATTCCTGCCAGTCTAGAACATGGACATGACATTTGTCTCACACAAGCCACCCGCCAGCAGGTGATCCAGAAAAAAAAAAACATATCCCATTCAGAAATGAGCAGCTATTCCAAGCAAAAGAATGAGAACAAATAGGAAGAAAAAAACGGTCAGAGAGGATCAAGAATAGAAGAAAAAGACTATTCAGGTACGAAAAATGTTTCCATAAAAATAAAAATTTGGGCTAAAAATATTGTCATAAATTTAAAAACAAATAAGCAGAAAATGTAAAGAATGTTATAGTATTTGTAAAGCAAGGCTTTTGTCAGGCACACAGGATCTCGGGGAAGATATTACAAGATAACAGGAAAAGGAATATGAGTTGGTTAAGCCCAGGAAATGAACCTTGCATTGGCGGCTCCCAGACTGTGCTGAAAATGAGGACACAGAAATAGAAGAATGCAAAACAAAGAAAATGAATACAGAGCAGGAAAAGGCACAACATGAGGAAAAATGAAATTGCAGAGAAGATAATAGGTAGACAGAGGAAGACTATTGTGTAATAGCCAGCACTCTGAAATAGGTTGAGAAAACAGTGACAAAACTGGAAACTACCAGAAATACTTCAGACAGACTATCCAGAAATATGTCATGAATCTGTAGAAAGAAAGCACACACTGAGCCCTGAGGAAAAATGGAAACAAAACAGTCATCCTACAACCAAATTTTAGTAAGATTATTAGAATTAAAAGAAAAGGCTGAACCTGGCACGATAGCCTAGTGGCTGAAGTCCTTGCCTTGCATGCACTAGGATGCCATATGGGTGCTCATTCATGTCTAGGAGGTTCCCTTCCCTGCTTCTAGCTCCCTGCTTGTGGACTGGGAAAGCAGTTGAGGATGGCCTAAAGCCTTGGGACCCTGCATACACGTGGGAGACCCAGAAGAGGCTCCTGGCTTTGGATTGGCTCAGCTGTGGCCATTGCAGCCACTTGGGGAGTGAACCAGCAGATGGAAGATCTTTCTCTCTCTTTTTCTCTGTAAGTCTGACTTTCCAACTAAAAAAAGTAATAAATGAATCTTTAAAAAGTGAAAAAGAAAAAGCCATTGCACACTATGGCAAAAACGTTGTCAGAGCAAAATTAGAAGATACTGGAGCAATGGAACAAAGCTGCCAGGAACACTAAGCATGTGATGCAAGAACTAGGCATTGCCAAAGTCAGTAAGCATTCTTGAACTTGTAAAAGCTCAGGAAATTAGTCCATGACTCCTCTTCCTTCCCCTTTGCTTAGATTTATTCGTTTATTTATTTAAAAGCAGAGTGACAAAGTGAGAGGGATAGATACAGAGAGAATCTTCCATCTGCTGGTTCACTCCCCAGTTGGTCACACTAGTTGGACCTGCTTTAATCAGGATCATGGAACTCTCTGTATGGGTCTCCATCCAGGTCTCCTACATGGATTCCACAGTCTCAAGCAGTTCAACAATATTTAGCTGTTTTCCCAGGTGCACTGACAGGGAGCTGGATGGGAAGCAGAGCAGTCAGGATTTGAACTGGCACCATCAGGTGAAATGTGGCACCACAACTGGTGGCTTTACCTGCTGTGAAACGATGCCAGTGTTAAGCCGTTACAGGAGACTATAGGGTCATGAGTAATGCTTCCATTTACCATAAGACTAAAACTCAAACAACTGTGGAAATTATGGTCACAGACAGAGCTTAACTATGATAAAGTCTAACGTTATAGGAATAAACACTGAAGGTTTGAAAAAGCAAATGACAAGATAGGTATTGGGCTATTGATATTCCTCTATGATGCAGCCAGATACGGAAAGATTATTTAAAGACAACAAATTACATAAATGGTTATATTACATTTCAAAGTGTTCACAGTGTAATTTGAAATGGTTTAATCAAGAATCGGATAAATTAAGGATGTACACCATGGAAGCTGGAAGTAGAAGGAATTAATTTTATCATTACTCTTGGCAAGAAGTCAACTGGTAGCTAAGTCCGGTGCAGGTATTTGACCTAGCAGTTGAAAGGACAGTTAGGACATCCACGTATTACACTAGGGAACCTGGTTTCATTTTGTGCCTATAGCTCTTAACTCCAGCTTCCTGCCAATTCAGACACAAGGGAGCCAGCAGTAATGGCGTAAGTGATTGGATTCCCATGACCTACATAAGGAGACCTAGTCTGAATTCCCAACTGCTGGCTTTGGCTCCTGTTCTCTCCTAGCCATTGCTGTCATTCCCAAGTGAACAAGTCCCAGGAATTTACTCTCTTCCTATCTGTCTGTCTTGGACTCTCAAAAAATAATTAAATAAAAATAATTAATAATAAAAAACATACGTTTAAGTATTTAGGGGAAGAACACCTTGAAACTCCTATATCAATACTGAATATAAATCTCTTTAATCAGGATGCCGTAGGAATACCCTGTACCTGCTGTATGAGAATAAGAGACAAAGAATGACTTTGCAAAAAGTTAGCTTTAGAGACCAACTGAAAAGGCAAATAGAGTGGAGGGGTAATGAATCTTTTATTGCTACAAACGTGTACCACCTAATTGTATCATAGGTAACAACCATTGTCACTCTTGAGCATCCAGCATTA